CCTACTGGTGCTTCGGCAGGGCGAGCAGAGCTGCGTGGGCCAACTGCTGAAGCAGCCGGGGGATGTGATCCGCTTTTTTTTTTAAAAAAAAACCACCCCTGAAACAAAGTATCGTTATCACTTTTACTGTATTTATTAATTCAGGGAATCACTTCAGGCTCAGAATGGAGGTAGAACATACTTAGGTAGGATTCAATTCGCTTACTGCAAGTGTTAATCTTACGTGTGCCCTTGATATCAACTTATTTAGATAACATGTAATGTCTATACTGTCCCTACAAAAGCATCAAAATAAGTAAAATCTGAGTGTGCAGCAACAGCCAGACGACTGATTAGGGTTACACATAGAATAGCGTACAAGTGAATTGTAAACTCTGTTTATTACCTCTTTTTGGGTGGACACATTGTTACTCTCTTCTAATTTGTGTATTTGTAATTGCTGCTCTTCTTGCAAGCTACCGTTTTAATACATAAAGTTAAGATTTTTTTTCTATAAGTTGTGATAGCGCATTAAATGCTCAATATTAGTGATAGTTTGTAACTGGGCGGTGTGGAATTTCAGTTTATAGAAGTCTTTTTTTTTCTGTTTAAGATAATGGAAATTATAAATAATATTTTATAATAAGATTTGCATATTTATAGAGGTACTAATTGCATTAAACCAATGAAATTTGTTGATTCAGAATTCAAGCAAATTCGTTGCAAGTACACACAGGCCATGCTTTGGTGTGTTTCAAAATTCTTTATGTTCCGTAATATGGTATGGTTTAGCTCCGATACATTTGAAGCCTCTAATGATACAGCTTGGAGACAGGAGTCTTGTCCAGTGGAAAGAATTTTTTACAACTAACATTTATTAATTTGATTATTTTTTTTCCTTTTTGTTCCCTCCGTCTTTCTTTTTATTTCTATTCCCCATGCTTTTCAGCACAAAGGGATTCAGCATCTCAGTTTTCTGACTTCTAAAATTGGGATAGGGGATCCTTCCTATGCGGTGTCGAAAGGGTGAAAATCTACTGACTGCAAAATGTTTAAGTACTGTGGTAATGAGAACGATAAAGTGCAGTCAATTGAGTTTTATTTGGAAGACTTCTGATAATAAGAAGAAAATGATAACTCCCAGGTAATACGGAAATTACTCTTGATGCTGGGGAGGATTGCTGCAGTGACACTGGAGGTGCTTCTGGTGGCCACAGTGTATTTCTCTGTCTTCTGAGAGGCTTAGGAGTTTGGATGTAATTCCTGGCAGCAGCTGGGGACACGTATTCACCTTCTAGTGCATGTAACCTAATGAACTGTCAAGAGCTCTCAGGAGCAGTGCGGTGTCTTTGCTGGGGGTCAGCATTGGTCTGATGTGGCCAAACGCGGCGTGCACAGCTGTGCTGAGCTGGAGTCAGCAGCTGGGTCTTCATCTTCACCCCCGTCCCAGGACAGAGAGCACGTGTGGCACCAGAAGCAGTTGTGCTTTTGTACTTTGTCGGAACGGAGCTCGTTCGTTCCATCTCATTACCGCGCACAAGGGGCTCTGTTGTTGGTTTGTTGCTGTCCCAAAAACCTTCTAAGGCTGAGGGCTTGAGCTGCTTCTGTGGCCGATGGTTGAGATCTAACGGTTTATCCAAAGGACATGTGTGTACCCTGATAAAACCCCTTAGTTGTATGGTAGGAGAGGAAGTACATTTAACCCAAGAGATTTCTCGGTGCTTTTTTTTTTAATAGTCTTTGTCATTTGTAAGGTATTTCTTCTTTAATTGCACAACGTGATTTCCTACTTAATCCTGCCCTACAGTTAAAATGCTAAGTTTAGCAAAATTATTAAGGTAATTTCTATGAAGAGGTACTTCATTGTCTCACAAAGATGAAGCTGAATTGATAAATGCATTCTTACATAAGTACCCGCTGGATAATGATGCTCCTGACAACCTCTTGTATTCCTTTCTCCATTTTCACTCAACAGGTATTTGGTGTATGTCTTTGGATGAGAATGATTTGATGAAACCTATCCATAAAATAAAAAAAACCCAACAAACCCAACCTCGATACCTTTTCCCTCTGAAGTTGTTAAGAATCAGATGGTGAGAGATCCTTAATCTCTCATACAAAAAGTGACTCTGTGGCTTGTGGCGAAGTGCTGTTTGGCGTTTCTTTTGATGACTGGAAAAGGCAGTCAGGGCAGACACCCTTCCTGAGTCAGACTCTTGGTGATTTGCCTCAACTAAGTATTTAATTGTAGCTGTGCGGATTTCATAACTAGTTTAGTGTTACGCAGTTCTTTCATTTTGAAGGACAAAATAATCATTGCAATGTTGCATTTAATGCAGTATGAGATAGATTTTTGTGCTGTTACTTCAAATATTGGTTGCGTGTTTGAAGTAGACATCACTCCCCTTCAGAGTAACTATGGTTGCGTTAAAACTCATGTAGCGTCTTCCTGTAGCTTTTGTTGTGTTTTGTTGTGCAGCTTTTCTTTCATTAACTTGCTGTAATAAGTAGGTATGAAAATAATCACCCATGGATTAGAAAAATCAAGGACAATTGAGTAAGTTTAGAGACAATAATGTAAAACGGTCTATGTTATTAAGTGTTTGCTCCCTTAAATAGAACAAAACTATAACTGGATAGCTCTACTGTCTTCAGAAACGCGCTCCGTTTTCTGTCACCTGAAGCATAGCTTTAAAATATGAATATACAACATCATTCTGGTGTTATGACCTGATCAACTGAGACAATCTGAGAGGAGTAATCTACTAAATCTGTATGAAGCTGACTTTTGTTATTTCAAGTAACAAGGTAGACTGGAAGCCAACCAGCCAAGTGGAATGAGCCATTGCCTTTCATTTTTCTAAAAAATTATAGAAATGCCTTGAAAAGAAGATTTATAATAATGTTCTTAATGGTTGTTTTTTTTTAAACAGTGAAGTCTTACATTGGAAGAATAGGAATTACAAGTTTTACTGTGCAGCTTCCACTTAGTTTTTTTTGGAAAAGAGAGCATTTGACTTTCTGATGAGAAAAGTGATTATGAAAAACTGTTTAGTTGATGTGAATTTAAACTCAATTTAAATTTAATTTTAAGGCACCTAATTCTTGATGTGTTTAATATGATTGATTCAAGAAGAGTGAAGGCTTAGAAAGCTTTAGTCCATTAGAAATTTTCGTGATTTGGTACAGAAAACAGCATGAAATGTAGGTGGCATTCTTCTGTATAGAGTTCCTGTTTGGGTTGTTTTGGTTTTGGGTTTTTTTGGGGGGGTTTGTTTGGTTGGGTTTTTTTGTTTGCTTTTGTTTGTTTTTGTTTTTTGACTAGTTGCATGGTTTGTTAACCTCCTGTGTATCAAGTTACTGGTTTTGGAAAATGTTAAGACTGGGATTAATAAAGTTGTTTTGACACCTACAATTGAAATGGAATTTTATAGATGCAAAGAAATTTTGACTAGACTATTTTTAAGATGAAGTGAAAAGTGCACAGTAATTCCTACTTTGCATTACAGTACTGTTATGCTGAAATTGCAGACTGCGATAGCCTGTGTTTATTTTGAAATCACATACCATGTACAGTTTGCTAATAACCTAATTGGTTTAGAGCTAAGTGTTAGTGGATTGTATGTTTTTTAAATGTCACGTTGACTTTTGTAATTCGTTTTGTTTTGGCTAAGAAAATTTTTTTTTGAATTTGCTTTTGGTTTGCAGCAGTGAAGATAATTAACTTGCTTTACTTGAATCTCTGTTTGCACAGAAGAAACCATGCTTATGGCTGTTTAGAGAAAGAAATGGTTTAGTGTGCTAACTCAATTTAGCACCTGAAAACACCATGACGTTTCCCAGTCTTGCATTATTGCTGCTAAGATTCAATGGTTAAAATTGGAATTGTTGTGTATATCATGATAAAAGTTAAATAAGACTTTTTGCTATGATGGCACAATAATAAAGCTTTGGGTTTATATGTGAGTTGTATTTGTGTAAGGTGGGACATAGTGAAATGTTTGTTTTTAGAGGCTTCTTTGCTGTCAGATGCGCTTAAAAAAGCAGAGGTAGTATACATTCGAAAATGTCCAAAGCTGTGCCTGTTTGGATGTGACGCAGAAGTTCCACTTTCGTCTTTCTCAGCCTCTTGGTGGTTATTTTACATGCTATCTTTAGTGGTTAAATTGTAAGAGCTGCAGATGCAGCACGAGGTTATAGAGTTTCTGTGCAACAGGTGTCATATTAGAAGTTGGCGAAGGGGAATTTAAAAATAAAGATGAGCAAAATGCATGTTAAAGTAAACAAAATAGAATGAATCGAGAGAGAGGTAAGGAAAGAGAAGGGAATCAAATCCCAAAGATCTACAAGATGGGATTTTTGTGGGATTTTTTTTCCAAGCCTCCATGGATTTTTTTTTTTAAAAAGCAGGAGGGTAATGGGCTTAGCCTGGGTAGAGTGGCCTCTTATATGCGAAGTCAGTTGCCTTCTTGCAATTCACAGCTCACAGGTTTTGAACCACAGACCCTTGAATAACAGCAAAACACATCTCAGCCTTTAGGAGGTTGATATAACCATGTGCACAGTAAGAAGTGGATGGTGCAGAGCTTTGCTTAAATAGAAGTGGTGAAACATCATAGAATCATAAAATGACATAGGCTGGAAGGGACCTCAGAGATCATGTAATCCAACCTCCCTGTCATGGGCAGGGACGCCTCTCAACTAGACCAGGCTACTCAAGGCTCCGTCCAACCTGGCCTTGAACACCTCCAGGGAGGGGGCATCCACAACCTCTCTGGGCAATTTATTCCAAAGTCTTACCACCCTCGTACTGAAGAATTTCTTCCTAAGATCTGATCTAAATCTGTTCTCCTTCAACTTAAACCCATTTCCCCTTGTCCTATCAGTGGACATTCTTGTAAAAAGTCCCTCCCCAGCCTTCCTGTAGGTTTCCTTCAGGTATTGGAAGGCAGCTATTAGGTCCCCCGAAGTCTTCTCTTTTCCAGGCTGAACAATCCCAGCTCCCACAACCTGTCCTTGTAGCAGAGGTGCTCCAGCCCCTGGATCATCTTTGTGGCCCTCCTCTGAACACGCTCCAACAAATCTATGTCTCTCTTATGGTGGGGACACCAGAACTGGACACAGTATTCGAGGTGGGGTCTCACAAGAGCAGAGTAAAGGGGGAGAATCACCTCTCTTGACCTGCTGACCACGCTTCTCTTGATACATCCCAGGATGCGGTTGGCCTTCTGGGCCGCATGAGCGCATCAAGGATGTAGAGGTTAAAGTAAATTATGGAGCTTACATTTCTGAGAACTTTTTTTTTTTTAAAGTAAGGCCAGCATTGCCAAGGAATTAATTGTTATTCAGAGTAGCTGGGTATAGAGTTTGTCGTTAATAATTAGCCTAGCAGTACAATCTCTGAAATGAATTTATCTATCTAAAAGATTACTGCTTACACAGTATTAGTTTATACCCTTCCTTATCTTAGCAGGCGAAAAGGAAAAAAGAAAAACCCGTGACAGTTTATTAAACAAGTGCATTAGCTCAGATGTTAGAGCACTTAAGGATGGGCTCTGGTTTCCAGTTTGGAACATGTTGATGCTTGGCCAGCCTGGTACAGGCTGAAGAGCGTTGTCTGCACTAATCTATGCAGCCTAATCTATTTCATTGAATTAATATTTGAGCTTCACAGTTGAAAATAAGACTTGAAAGCAAGTCTTGTTCAGCTTTTTGTATTTGGGCGTTTGCTGGTAGACACGCTCACAAAGTTGTTTTTTTCTGTTGGAGAAACTATAGCTGTGTCTAGTGAAATAGTGTAATCTGATCGCAGTTTTTAAACCAGTAAACTTTTCTGGCTTTAGCACACCACCACAAATACGGTTAAGGATGTTGGCTATACATGTTTTATATATATAGTTATATGTGCATATATATATGCATTATTGAGGGACTGTGGAGAGCTTCTTAACTCCAAGTTCTTGTGCTGAAACAGGTGAGGTTGTTCTGAACTGCAAATTGCTGCTGTTGTTTGCCTTGTTTCTGATGCTGTCAAGTGAAGGGCCCTTGAGGCTGTTTTCTTGAGGATGTGCATTCGTTAAGTGATAATTGACAGAATACTTTAACTGATGTTTGGATTGTATGGGATAAAACTTCTTTAGTCTTTGAGTGAATAATTTGATTTCTGAGTGAAGGCCTGTTAACGCATAGAGTTTGTGAAGCAGAACATTCCTTGTCCTACAGTTGTTCTCTGAGTAAATTGGGAACTGATGGTTTGAATCCAGTCCGGGGCCTTGAAGGCAGATAAGGTATTTAAAGTACCTTATTGCTACTAAATTGACTTTTTTTTTTTCTGTTTTTCGTTCTTTTTTTTGCAGGCTGGAGCTCTTGATTTATTGAAGGAGCTTAAGAATATTCCCATGACCCTTGAGTTGTTACAGGTATGATTTTCTTGTTGTTGTGTTGCACAGTGTTCATAATGTTCATAACGATGAAGGTGAAGCCAGCAAATTTGAAAGAAGATCGCACTTTTAAAGTAGATTCCTATGTAGAAACTCCTTGGAAGAATCAGTGTTATTATAGGGTAACTAGTCTTATTTCATCTCAACATAAGGCACTTAAAGATAAGTGTTTTCTTCTAGTAGCAAGCTCTTAAGTCTAATCTTTCTGTTTAAGTTCAAAGTAGTGAATTTTGTTGTGGACAAAGGGAAGAGCTTCTTATAAACTTACCTTACTGTGGTGGTTTAGGCCCAGTGAGCAACTAAGCGCCATGCAGCCACTTGCTCACTCCTCCCACCCCTGGGGGGATGGGGAGGAGAGCTCGTGGGTCGAGACAAGGACAGGGAGGGATCACTTACCAATTACACTCATGGGCAAAAGAGACTCAACTAGGAGAAAAACATCACTTTAATTTGTTACCAATCAAATCAGAGTAGGAAAATGAAAAATTAAACTAAATCTTCAAAACATCTTCCTCTCACCCCTCCCTTCTTCCTGGCTCTACCTCCTCCCTTGCCAGCGGTGCAAGAGGATGGGGAACAGGGGTTGTAAGTCATTTTGTCACAGGCTGTTTCTGCTGCTCCTTCCTCAAGGAGGAGGACTTTTTACATTCTTCCCCTGCTCCAATATAGGGGTTCCTCTCATGAGAGACAGTCCTTCATGAACTTTTCCGACATGAGTCCTTCCCACAGGCTGCAGTTCTTCGTGAACTGGGTCCCTCCCATGGGATGCAGTCCTTCAGGAGCAGACTGGTCCAGCATAGGCTTTCCATGGCTTCTTTGGATGCAGCCACCTGCTCTGGCTTAGGGTTCTTCACGGGCTGCAGGTGGGTGTCTCTGCTCCACCATTAATCCCTGTGGGCTGCAAGGGGGCACACCTGCTGTCTCACCATGGGCTGTGGGGAATCTCAGCCCCGACACACCTCCTCCTTCACTGACCTTGGTGTCTGCATAGTTGTTTCTCTCGAATCTCACTCCTCTCTCTGCTGCAGCTATGATGGACCCGACCAGCCCGATGAGCCTTGGTGGCCCCTGCAGACAGCCACCTGCATGGGAGGTGAGGAGTGAGGCCAGTGCCTTCCCTCTCTCTCTGCTGCTCCTTCCCCTCCAGCAGTTTCTTTTCTTCCTTCTTAAATATGTTTATCACAGAGGTGCTGGTTGGCTTGTCCCTAGCCAGAGGTGGGTCTGACTTGGAGCTGGGGAAGCTTCCAGCAGCTTCTCACAGGAGCTATCCCCTGTGGCCTCTTCCCCGCTACCACAACCCCACCACACAAACCCAACATACTTACATATAATCGTAGGTTCTGACTAACACAGATGTGATGTATTTCCTTCCTTCTGAAGGGGAATGCACTCGATTACAGCTGATAACTTGTTTTCTTATGTAGTTAGTTCTGATTTTGAATTGTGAGGATAAGCAGAGATCATATGTTCAGGCAAGTTGTATTTGACCATTTCCTTCCCCTGCGCCCCCCACTGCCCCTGCCCCGGCCCTGTAACTCTGAGTAGTGTATTTCTTAAGGTAATTCTACTCTTCCTCCTCCCCTTTTACTCCCCTGGGCAGAAATGGTGGTGTACAGCCTCTCTCACTTGCATGCACGTTGTCTCTAGTATTGCTTATGTCTACATCTCTAACATAGTATTTTATATATTACTTTTGGAAAGAATTTATAAATAACTCAGTGAACTTTATTTACATGTCAAGTTTCAGAGTTTGTCATGTAATTCATCAATTAACAACGTTTGTTCCAGAGTAATTAGATATTTCCTATCTCTGTGAAAGTTTTTGAATGGCAGAGGTAAATGTAAGACCTGATTTGCTGTGGTAGCCACCTGATTTGGAAAAGACTGAAAAGTAACTCTTTTCTAATTGATAGCTAATGGTCACAGATACAGAATTAGCTATAAAGTTCAAATCTTAAGTGTCAGTAGCAACGTCATTCTTGACATGTACATCCTATATATTTGCAGAATGTACTTAGTACGTTATTACTAATTCTGTTTGTGACAGAAAATAGGAATCTGAAAGTATCACCTTCATGCATGAATGAACATGGCTGATATGACACTACAACCTTCTCCCTTATTGTCCAACCTCCTTTCTTGAAAAAGACCCAAAATAAAACCTTGCTGAAAAAAAACTCCAAACCCCACACGAAACAACAACATAACCGAGAAAAACCTTCATGCTAACCTGATTCTTTTGAGTTTCTTTGTGCAGGTGTTAATACAAAGTATTTTGTAATAATATTTTTGTACCTTTGGAATGAAAAATCTCTCTGCAAGTGCTCTGGAAATTCTGCAGATGCTGCTATGCAAACCTGTTCTGCTTAGTGTGAAGAATGAGACTAGAAGGAGAAGCTTTACACAGAACAGCAGAACAATTTTACCCTTGAATCATGGAGATCTGAAGAATCTACAAGTAGATGACTTATTCTTTCATTAGTTGCAATGCAAACCTTAGTAATATTATCATCAGAGGAGGACTCTTAATCTTGCTAAGTACAAACTAACTCAACTGTCTGCCTTTTAGGGCACTTGTGTGACTCTGACTTCATGTATATAGGATCGCATGTTAATTCTGTCCACTTTTCTATCCTACTTGAAAGAAGCTTCTTTATTTCCATCCATAAGACACGTACCTGTTTTTAGAGTGAAATCATAAAAGATTGGTTTTAATATGTATTGGGGCAGGCACGACCTGTATTTGTAAAGGAGATTTCTCTGTGTTACAGTAGGTTTAAAAGGATCAGGTGTTTTAGCCTGCTCTTGCATGGTAGGTTGACTGTAGCTTATTTAAGAAGTTTTCCTTAAGTATCCACTGCTGTATTCAAAACAGTTCCGTTGCGTAAGATTGCATTTAGCATCATGTTTAGACTCAAATTTACATTGTTTTTGTTGAGAGTTTTATAAATATGTAAAGACTGCTGTAAATTTTCTATGTTAGTCTCCAAAATTTACTTAAGCAGTGGAGGACTTGGAGCAACAGTTGAAATGCAAAATTATCATACTCACTGCTCTGGTGCGGTGTGGTGATGTCAAGGAGGCCAGTGATCATGAGGAAGCAGCAGCAGTTACTTCCTCTACATAGACTGAGATATCTGTTGATGTGTTTGGACTGATTGAGACTCAGGATGCAAGTGAAAAGTGGACTTCCACACCCATTTTTAAGCCATTTTGAAAGCTGGTTACATTGAGAAAAGCACTGCT